TCGATGCCAGTGTCTCTTGTCGTTTGTCGTTATCTCGAGTCAAGTGGAGTTGAAGGAGCTGCAAGTGCACTTCATTTCGTAGAGGCCCCCCAGTCCCTTTACCACTTGAAGAAGCCCCCGTGCCTTGGAAAACCACCTCGTTTGCAGAACCCTTTTATGCCCCATGCTGCGGTAGCATTTGCCTCATAAATTGAAACCGAAAAAAAAAGTTGCGCCTGTGTCAGGGGCACTTGGAAAGAAGACTGCCTACAGCGAATAGATAAAGACAGAATCCCAAAAAAGGTGAGCAGGAACTGCAGGTGGTGGCAACATTTAGTTCACTTTACCTGTTTCCTTCCCAGCTTGCCACCGATTCGCTCCACTTCACTTCACTTCACTTTTCTCCATCCCGGCAAAACAACGAAACCGCAAATGCGACAAAAGTAGAATGCAATTCGCACTTGAAACTCTTATTCTCCCAGAACCCAACCGAATCCAAAAACAACAACCACAACAGCTCCTGTTGGAGAAAGAGTGAGGTAGAGCCTAGAAGAAAGAGATGGCAATGGCGACAACAGGATGCATACTTTTGTGGTAAAAACCAAAAAACTTTCCCAGGCAAAAGACCGCGTTTGCTTTTCCACTTTTCTTTTTCTCACCAGCAGTTGGCTGCCACCTCTTTTATTTTTTTTTTTTTATTTTTTCCCCAATTTGCTGCAGAAAATGAAAATTTAAATTTTTAACCAACGCAGTAGTATGTAGTAGTAGCAGGCTGGCCAAAAAGTTTTGCTCAGTTTTTGCCGCTGCCGCTGCCGTTGCGATTGCCATTGCAGCTGGGAAATTTCACACATTTCCCACAGCGCATTTGCGCAACCTGTTCTCCTGTTTTTTATGTCCTTTGCTTTTATTTTGTCAACTAAAGGAAGCCATCAAGCAGCAGCGAAGAGAGTGATGAATGGTTGTGGGGCAGTGTGGCAAGACTGCCTCCCAGCCCCCCTTCCTGCCTCCCTGTCTCATTGCAATCGCTTTAATTCAACATAATGAAAAGGAAAACCCGGGAAACCGAATGAAGTGTGATTGAGCTGGAAAGCGGTAGCCTGGATTCGTGTCGAGGAGCTTCCTGATGGCGGCGGGCTTTTGTTTGTTTGTGTTTCGCTTCTGCCTACGAACGAGCTAACAACAATCGTCAGGCCGGGACCTCCGGGCCAAGGAATGCACATCCGACACCATGCATCCTGGCCACTTTCACTCCCCAACCGCCGCCGCCGCCGTCCTACTTCTCTGGCTTGCCTCGCTTTCTGTCAGCATGCAACAAATGCCTCGAGTGCATAACGGCCTGCCAGACTATAAAATTTGCACAGAAAAAAATGCATCCTTCATCTATTAAAATAATTATGTAATAATTAATAATAAATTCCGTTTTCTCATCGTATTTTAAAGTCTAAATAGTTACCGTAACAAACTATATTTAAATTACAAAAATAATAATAGTCCTGTTCAATTATTTTTCACTGTGCCTGCTCTAAACTCTGACTTTCGGGGTCGGGAGTGACTTTGGCATAAATCATGGCTGGCATTTGCATGTTCCACAACCTCCTCGCCTGCATGCAGCTAATCTTCGTCCTGGCCAAGTGGGAAGTGCATCCTTTGTATGCCTTTTGTTTGCTTTCCATGTACTTGCTCAATTAAAAAATTGCTTTAGTTTGGGGGCCAATTCGGGTGTTGTTGCCCTGTCCGGCAATTAATATGTTCGGTCTCCGGGCCGTAGAAGGCATTTTTAATTGCATTTCAACACGAAATGCCGCAATTTTGCCTAGCTGGGATTTTCACACCTATAAAAATGCAAATTTTTCCTTTCACCTGCAGTGAAAGCTACAAAAAATATCGTCCTATATCTCCCCAGATAATATTAATTGCCGCTGCATTTCTGTGGATATCCTAGCTAGTCCTAGCTAGTCCTGTGGATATCCTAGCTAGACCTAGTTTCAGAAAGAAAATTTACGTTCTTGGGAAAGTGACGATGGAAGTGACTACGTGGTGGGTGCCCGGCAGGTCCTTTTGCCTTCGGCCTCGGCTGAACAGCAACTGTTTCTTTATTTAGATAAATGAAATAGAATTCCCTTCGTTTCAGTCTCTCTAAAAGCCGATGTGAAAGTTCTCCGAACGAAGGACAACGCAGGCGCCAACTTTTATTTCGAAAACGGCGGAAATCTCTACAAAGAGAGACGTTGAGAAAAAAACAGAGAATATGAGATTTTTGTTTGAGATTTTAGAAGACTGACCGACTCTATAGTGAGGCACCATATGGTCGTTTTTATGATGGAGACCACTCAGGACTTTTACGATCTATTAGAAAATAATATTACATTAAGTGACTAAGGTCAAGGATAATTGCTCTGATATCCTCTGATATCTGCCTTAAATATTTAAACAAAATATTCTTGACTTCATTTACCAAAACGGAATTCTCTCAATTCTCTAAATATTTTTATTGCATAAATTCCTCAATTTAAGAATTGCTTTACAAGCCAGCCTCTTTTCTATCTCAATTTACATTCCAGCTCGGCCATGTAAAAATATTTTCATTACAAAAATGAATCTCAACTTTTATTCATGGCCTTACAAAAAAAAAAAGGCTTTATATATATATGTATAAGAAAAAATATTTTTCATTTTACTGATTGTACTAGACTAAAAAATAACACAAATACATCTACAAAGGTAAATGCAGAAATTCTTATCATGAAACGTTGCAAAAATGTGTGCAATTAAAAACTCTCAGCAACCTAAAAAAAAAGGATACGATGGGAAAAAAAGGATAAAGACTTTTGGAAAGAAACAGGAAAAACAGAAAATTCAACAAAAACAAACATAAAAGAAATTAAAGAAAAGCCAAAGGATGTTCACGGAATCATTGGATTTTAATTAAGATTAAAGCTAAAAGGGAATAGAGACTGAAATAAAAGAAAACAAAGCCAAAGGACCTTTGGCCTTAGATGAAAAAGGAAACACATGCATATTATGTGGCCTTTGATTGTGATTTGTTGGTTTGTTGGCCATGTTGTCTCTTGGGTTTAATTCCTAGTTTTAGTTTTAAGACTTTACTTTGCCAATTCACTGTTTGATGGGTTTTTTGTTTAACTTGCAATTTTATGAACCCAAGACTCTTACTTAAAATAATATTTAGTAGAAATCAAATCAGATATTAATAGAATCATATGTGGGTGGAAAAGTAACCACTTTTGGGCAGGGGGAAGAAACAAAAGCCCCATGAATCATGGCCCCAGCATGCAAACCACACAGACTGCCCTCCTCCACCAGCACCTTCGTCAGGTGGCTGCGAATCGTTTCCAGTCGGTGGCGCCGCACGCACCGGGTCAATTTCATGCAACACAAACAGGAGGAGCATCCAGGGTCGTTGGGGGATTTGTCCTGCATGGAGGACACGTTCACCTCGCTCCGTCGTGCCCCTTTTCCTTTGAGAGGCAGCCAGGCGGGCAGAAAAGGCGAGCGAGCAGGTGCTCGGTTGGAACTAAACGTCCGTTTTAACATTGCCACCTGATGGCCTTCTTCTGATGCTACTACTGCTGTTGCTGCTTCATCTTCTTCTTCTGCGGCATGTGGCATGTGGCACATGCCAAGGGGGCTGGTCACGTCTCGTGCTGGGCCATAATTGATAGTTCAATCTGTTGCAGATCAAACGCTTGACAGCAGCCAACAGATCAACCTGAAAAATTGTCCAAGCACTCACAAAAAAAAGAGGGAAAGGGGAAGACATTTGATTACGGGTATCTGGAAATCAGAGGGATTTAAGCAATATTAATGTGGCAAATTAAGGTTGAGTGTTTGCGGGAAAAACTTTATTTACATGGAGTAGCTTGAACCATCAAATGGTGGAATGGAAATCAGCTGAATACTAAGTCTTCTTAGCATACCCATCAGAATTAATGCCAAGACACTTTCTTCCTTTCACGAACTCTTTAAATATGAATACTAAAATATGCTACATTTTCTTTTCAAATACAGCTTCATATTTATTTTACTATCTCTGGCCTTTCAAGCAGCACTTTATTTTGCCAAGAAGGACGATGGCCGTTTGTCAACCCAAAGGAGTAGGAGCCAGGCTTCTGGCCAGGCGCTGGCATGAAAACGTCTCTCAGCCAAATAGATTTTTATGCTTTTAAGTAATTTGCCGCACAAATTGAAAATCTCCCAACTGCAGATGCAATTTTCAGTTTTTCCTTAAACTTAAGCTGGCATATTTTAAGCCAAGAAGAAAAAAAATATATAATATTTTTGGTTGAAGCTCTTTTGTTTGCAACTCATGTTTTGTCGCTTAATTTTAATGGCTTGTTGCGCATTAAACTTCTAGCTTCATTTATGTTTATGTGCGCATTTTTATTTGTGTAATTTACGCTTCGAGTGCTGATCATAAATTGTGACACGAACTTCGGCACCGGAAAGGTCACGTTGCCTCATTAAAGTCCCAACAACGGCAGCTACTCGAACAACGGCAATAAGTGTAATACCAAGGGCAATAAGAATCACAATCACCCATACACCCACGTGTATGTAAAAGGGCCAGGAGGGAAAGATTTATCTTAACAATGACGGAATAAAAAATGAAATAGACCTTAAAGGGCCGTGCATGGTGAATGGGAATCACTTAGAAAATACCTTTGATAATATTACCAATAAATTTCAAGATTAACCTTTGGCAACTGACAAGCCTATGACGTACCTTTATTTTAATCAATATTACGTATAATGATAAATTAATTAATCAACGCCTCATTGGTTTTCTAACTGCGCGTGTTGATATTCAGACAACCCACTAATTCGGAGCCTCAAGATAACAAAACTTCCACTCCATTGATTAGTAGACCACCAAAAATTATTTCTAGTGAAATTCAAAGAATTTCTAATTAAATCTAATCAGAGTGTCATTAATACACTTAAGCTATCAAAATAGTATCAGGGGAAGACCAACAGAACCTATAGAATGGCCGTTTGGCCCATTTTTCGAATCAGTTTCAAGTTGAACGCGGAAAAGGAAAGACTCTTTAAGGAAAACCAAAGAACCTGGTTAGATAAATTGTTATGAGAGGTAAAAAATATTTTTTCTAAAAGTTATTAACCAAGTGATATCTAGTTTGTAGATTTTTCAAACTTTAATGGCAGTTTTCTGAAAAGAATATCTAAATTATAAGCAATAAATTGACCTATGGATTTCCTGGGATGCCAGGGCAGTATTTCCAACAAAAGTTCTGTGGTTCAAAAAGTGCCAAAAAAATAATATTATCTATCGAGGAAGGCCAATCAATTAAAGTTAATTAATCTATGAAGTGTCTATTTATTTCAGTCAATACTTCAAAGCACTTGCCATGGCTTTTGATGATTGTGGCCGTCTTTTGGAGCTGGCAGCTGAATGTTTTGGCCTTCAGCAATGTCGAACCCTTCCACCAAACCTGTGACAATGAGAAGCGTTACGAAAATCAGGTGATGTGCGCCGGCAAGGAGTTTGGCTGCCTGGTTCCCTATCCGGATAACTGCAGCTTATTCCTGGTCTGTGATTGCCTCTATCCAACGGTGAAGTTATGTCCAGCGAATCTCTGGTGGGACAATAACACTCAGCTATGCAATTACCCACAAGCCGTCGATTGTATTTACTACGATATAGAACCGACAGAGCCATCGGATGGATCCACTTTGACTACTCAAGGGTCGACAGCGAGTACCACTAAAGGGACGACCACAACGCCAACGATTACCTATCCAACCTCGAGCTGGGATCCACCGCCACCTCCACCCGGCATTTCAGACGACTTTTGTCACTCCTTCAGGGATGGTTCCGTGCACCGATATCCTTACGATTGCCAGGCGTACATCAACTGTACTCATGGATGGCCAGTTTTGAACTATTGCGATGAGGACAAGGCTTTCAACGCCCTACTCCTCATTTGTGATACACCGGATGCGGCTAATTGCACAGCGGTTCCCCTGCCCACAACTACAACAGCGGAGGTACCTTCTTCAACAAAAACAACCGATATCCCTACCACATCCACCACGGAGGGGTCTTTTACATGTGGCCCTGGACCAGAAGGTATAGAGGATGATTACTGTCAGTCCATGGGGAATGGATTCTACAAGTATCCCTACAACTGCAGCGGCTACTTGGACTGTCGAAATGGCTGCACCGATTTGGATTATTGCCAGGAGGATAAACTTTTCAACGACCTTCTGCATATTTGTGATACCCCGAATTCAGTGATTTGCGATGACAAACCCTTTCCCACCACGACCTCAGCGGGTACAACTAAACGCACTACTACGACTCCTCTTACCACATCTCCCGTCCCGACATCAGGGCCAACATTCACCACTCAAAGCCCTACCAGCACTACGGTGGGAACCACCACAACCACTCCAGGACTTCCACCGGATGTGGATCCTGAAGATTGTAAGGGTTACCCGGATGGAACCATTTTTCCTTATGCTGGAAACTGTTCTCAGTACCTATTCTGCAAAAACAATCAAGTGGAAATGGGTGAATGTCCTTTGAATTTGCTCTTCAACTACAAGATTCTACTTTGTGACGAAGCGGATGATGTTGAGTGCTATGGAGATCGCACCACTACGCCGCTGCCAACCACTAAGCCACCAACGACAACCCCAGAGCCAACAACGCCTACCACGACAACGACCACAAAGGCCACAACCTTGGGACCCAGTGAACTCTGTGAAGGTCAAGCGGTGGGGGCGTCCTATGCCTATCCTGAAGACTGCTCGCAATACTATTTGTGTTTGGGAAACGGAAAGTGGACTCTGGCACCCTGTATTTATGAAAGTTTCTTCGATCCATCAACTGGAATATGTGGCCCAGATGTGTCCCCTGAGGCTTGCAAAGCAACAGCCACTACTACAACGACAACAACTACCACAGTGTCGACAACAACTGAGGAGGTTACCAGCACCAAAACCACAACTGTTCAGCCAACAACTACTCCGCGAACCACCACAACTGAGGGCCCCTCTTCCGGAATATGCGCCGGCCGCAATGATGGCGAAAATATAGCCTATCCGAACAACTGCAATAAGTATATCGTCTGTGTCTCGCCAATTCCTATTGCTTTCTACTGTCCGGCAGACACTTTCTTCAGTTCTGAGGAAAAGAATTGTATTGAAAGCTGGGAAGACAGCGATTGTGAGGATGGGCAGGGCACTACAACTTCAGAGCCGGGTTATACCAGGCCTCCTCCTGAACCCACAATGTGCACAAACAGCACTAGAGATACTTTCCCATATCCGGATAACTGTCAGTGGTTCATCCGCTGTGTGGACGATTACATTTACATGATGGATGTCTGCAACTGCGGGGAGTATTACGATCCCATAGCGCAGAAGTGTGGACCAGATGTACCATCAGACGCTTGCCGTTGGGATTACACCTCAACCACAACCACCGAGCAGCCCACAACCACAACTGAACCTACAACCACCTCTCCTGTTACCAGACCTCCACCCCAAAAAGGACCTTGCGATGATGTGGACGATGGGGCTTTGGTTCCTTATCCTAATGATTGCACGAAGTACATCCAATGTAGTCGACCCATTGCTGAGGCTTTCGATTGCGATGAGGGTGACGAATTCAGCGTGGAATTCGGAAAGTGTGTGGATGCTGAGCTTGCTAATTGTTCGATTACTACCACTGCTAAGCCAACGGAATCTACGACGCCTACTACTGAAGGAGATTCCTCAACAAGTTCAACCCAACCGACAACAGAACCTTCGACATCAACAACAACCGAGCTCTCAACTGTGTCTTCCACCCAAGAACCAACCACTTCTACTACTGAGACATCCACATCTCCATCTACCACAGTTTCTACTACCGAAGAGCCAACTACTTCTTCTACCGAGACATCAACACGTCCATCCACCACGGCATCGACTACAGTTTCTACTACACCTGAGCCAGGATCTTCAACCACAGTGAAGCCAAAGGATGGTGTTTGTGATGGTAAAGTAGATGACTCTCTCGTGCCTTATCCAAATGATTGTGGAAAATACATTATGTGTCAATATCCGATACCTGTTGGCTATGATTGTCCCTATGGCTTGGAGTTTAGCCCCACTGATCTTACTTGCATGGATCCGGACTTAGCTGGTTGCAGTCCAAAACCAACGACTCCTGGGCTAACAACCACAACTACTGAAAAACCAACTACCCAGGGATCTACCACACCAAAAACGACGACAACAGAATCAACAACAATTTCATCCACAACAGCGTCTACCACAGCTTCTACAACCCCGCAAACGACGACAACTGACTCCACAACAGTTTCCACAACTCCGAAGACTACAACAACTGAATCCACAACACCGAAAACAACGACCACTGAGTCAACAACAGTTTCCACAACAACCGAGTCCACTACTATTTCAACAACCCCAAAAACAACGACAACAAAAACCACAACCGTTTCAACAACACCGCAGACAACCACAACCGAATCCACAACCGCTTCAACAACACCAAAAACAACGACAACCGAGACCTCAACTATATCAACAACCGCTTCCACAACGACCGAGTCCACTACTATTTCAACAACAACCAAACCAACAACTCCAACGACAACGACTGAGGCGCCCCTTCCTACCTTGGATCCGTACACCCCCAATATTTGCTGTGGTCAAGCCCTGGGAACATGGCTGCCTTATCCCAATGATTGCAGTCGCTACGTGGTGTGTGATTATCCCATACCCTATTCTGTGGACTGCCCAGAGGGAACTGTCTTTGACGATAAGCTATTGCAATGCTCCGCAGTACCTAATGAAAGGTGTCTTTATGAGCAATATTAAACAGTATCTTTTAATAAAGATCATATGAGCACTTACTATTTAGTTTCTGTTAATTTTCAACCCCCGAAGTCAATTGTCTAAATGCACAAATGCCCAGCAATTGAGAATCACTTAGCATACATTTGAAACTTTTCACTTTTAAGGCTTAACGCATTCGCTTTCTAAATTCCTTTTGGTATCAATTACAGGTAAACCCCTTTTCAGTTATTTGTCGCCACAAGAAATCGAAACCTTCACAAAAAATAATTTACCACTTTACACAGTCAACTCCCGTGACAGGTAACGGAGCGGATTGCTATTGTGGAACCTCCTGTCGCAAGGATTTCTGGCGAAGACCCTCAAGAGAGGCACAGGACAGAATTTTTAGCAACAGGCTAAAAGCAATTTCCCCTCAGCAGTGCCCTAATATCTTCTCGCTTACAACTTTCAGCCATTTATCGTAGTTTGATACTGGCGTTGTGGCCCCCGAACTGGCTCAAACCCTCGCATAGGAAGCCTAATCAGATTTGGGGTTGGCCACATGAAAACACAATTGCCAAGGAATTATTCGGAGGGCGTGGAGAGTGGCGCCTGGGTGGGAATCCAACTGGGGGTAAACATAACAACGACAAGGATAAGTTGTTCAGTGGCTTTCTGTCGGAAAAAAAGAAAAATAAAAAGGAAAGCGAAATCAAGGCACAAGTTATGTATGTAAGTAGCAATGACAGTAACGACACAAAATGAACACAATTCGAGCAAATTGTTTGGCAATAATGTTAACTTAATGCGTTCCATTTGTCGCACTTCAATCGATAGACACGCGGCACAAAGCTCCTTCAAGTGATTTGTAACGCTTTGATAGCCCAGCTCCCCAGGACCAACAAGGATTTGCGCTTGTGTCTAGGGATAATCAGAAAGGAGCCGCCACTTTTCAAATTGAGCAACAAGTCACAAGAGCCTGAAATCCATTTAATTGAAGATAAGGCTTACTGAACCCCGATTAGAGGAATTTAAATTGGAATATTTCAATCCTGAAAATGTATTTCCATGCCAAAAGTAAGGTCATGAAAAAACAATTTTGCCAATTTAGCATTGGACTCTGGCCAAGTAGAGATGGTTGCCAAAAAAAAGCGTACCAAAATAACACCCAGAAAGCTAACACCATTATAAAAATATTTTAAAAGTATTCCTTTTTATTTTAAAGCTCCAATTTAGTCTTTATTCTGTTTGGCAAAGGTCCAAAATAGTTCATAAATGAATTCTTTGGAGTGCATATTCCCCTCTAAAGTTTCGGTGCATAAACAACACTTAAAACTAATTACAGGTAAGAATTCCCAAGGTAATTACAAAACGAAACCAACATTCAACTTGCAAACGATATCCAGACATAACTAACAATTATCAAAATCTCAAAGCTGGGAAAATCACTGGGAAAGCATTTTCCCAGTACTCGACACATGTTGGTATACCAACTTCCCATTCTAGGTGGAGTTTCGGGGAATCGGGGGGCGTTTTAGTTTATGAAACTTTACTGGCGCATATTAATGTGCAATTCCATCCATTTATGGAAAATGTATTTTATGTTTCCCGCGAGTATTTCACTCGATGTTGCATGCCCCAACAAAGCAGTTAGACAGACAGCCAAAACTTTCCCACTTTTTTTTTTTATTTTCTATATGCAGTGTTGTTTATGGCATATTAAATGGCATCGAAAAATTGCAAAAATTGGAAACTTTGCAGTATTTACATTTTGGGAAATTTTCATAAAAGGCTTATGAAAAATAAATGCTTTATGGAAAAACAGGAAAAATGGTTTTGGAACATACATATGAAAACTTAATCAAATGTTATGGCTAGTTATGGTTATTAAGCTCTATCAGACTGGATTCTGCTCTATGACTGGAAAAAGATATACGAAATTCATAATAAAATATAAATCTAATCTAAAACTTATATCATAAACCAAATATAATCGTAAAATACTTATCCAATTATTGGATTTGCTTATCGAGTCACATTTCGAGACTCACCTGAAGCCGAGGCATCCAGGGATTCATTCACCTTCGTCACCCAAAGCAATCCATCCACTTAAGAAAGGAAACCAAAATCTCCACCTCCTTTTAGATTCAAGACACTTCCAGGAAGATAACAGCATGTAAGCGTTGTCATAACACGATCCGGTCATATAAAAACAAAATTCGCACAAATTTAACGCCTCCGACGCAGACGTTTAGGTTTTTATGGTGTCCCCCGCGAAAGCCACGCCCCTCGAATAAGGGCACCCCAAACGCCCACCACACAGCATTCATATTCATAAAAGGCAGCGACTCATCATTATTTGTCAGGGATGCATGTAAACAAGTCAACAAAAAAGAGCCAAAGACAAAAATCATGAGTCACGCATAAAATTTTATGAACTGAACGGGTGGGTGGGTTGCTGGCTGTTGGGCGGGATGAAGGTGGAAAAGGACGAGAAAGGACATCAGGGTCCTTGGGTAAAAGCGGCATGTGGTGTATGTTTGTGGCTTAATTAAAAATCAGCGAGTGGTATTTTGAACATTTACAGAGGGCTGTGGATGACATAACCATAGATATATGAAATTGATTCAAAAAAAATATACGTTAAATATAATTATAAATTAAATAAAAAATCAGAGTCTTTTTTATTTAAAAAATATATATATATATTTTAATACTAATTTACTTTCAGATGACAGTAATGCCCATTTCAATTAAATAAAAAGTATAAAACCCGATGGACCCGCAGGTGGTTTGGTGGTTTCTGTTGATTTAAACAATCTCTGGAAATGTTTGCCTTTCTTTGCATATCTTCCCGCCGCATCCCTTTATCTCTGAAACCGAAATAAAAAAGAAAGTCCCAGAAGAAAGTACGCGTAGTGAGAGCGAAAGTAAGTGAAAATTTAATTAAATTGATTTCCGTCACTCCCCACGGGGCGATTTTAATTAAACCTTTCTCGATAGATTCCCCACCAAAAGCAGTAAACCATTAAGTAAACAGTAAGCCAACGAATTGCAGTTCGTCTTTGAGGTTTTACTTCCGAAAAACCGAGTCGGATTTTTTCCCCCCTTTAAGAATTTTCATTCCTCAAAAAGTTTGCGAATTGCAAATTTTGTTATTACAAGCCAGACAAGCAGAGCGCTGACTCGCTCCACCCACAATTGGCTTTCTTTCTGGCTTTCTCCGAGGAAGTTCAGCTACAAGTCAAAGTTTCTGGGGCCCCCGCATGTGTACTCGAGTCGGTGAGGAGTCGTGTGTTTATTTAATATCTATAAAATAAATTAAACATTCATATTCCGTTTATTTACTTAGGCAAATTGAGTTTTCGCAGTTGACATGCTGAATACGCAGAAAAGGGAGAAAACGCGACTCACGGGTAGGACGAGTGGATAACCCGGCCATGCAGGTTTTCCCAAAAGCAAAAAATAAAAAAATATAAATGTAAAAGTTGGCTAGCTGTGTCATATCCACATTGGTCTGTAAACAGGAAACGAGTGTCTGTTGCATGCAGAGAGTGACAAATGTCATGAAATATTCAAATTGACAGAAGTGTGGCTGCCGCTCTAACTCACTTTAGGCTAAACTTTAGTGGCACAACTTTAATGGTACATCTCGTCCTTCATATTTATCATAGACATACAAACTTAAACACCTCATAATTGCCAATTGAGGCTGCCATAAATACAAAGAACACAACCTCCATGACATAAATCACAAGTCCTTAAGCCAGCCAACATAAACATTTTTAAGTTGTGCCGAAAGCCGCAAACATGTCCCCCTTCTAGCCAGCATACATGGCAAACGCTTCGTTTTCATTTTGTAAATATTTAAGCAAACAATAAAATTCGAAACTGAAGTCTGGAGGGGAGAGTATTCAGCCGTAGCAGGTGTCAAATGTTGCGGCCCAAAGGAAAAAGGGAAAAAAACCAAGCCAGTTAGCCCAAAAGTTGCCCCAGACTCTTGTTCCTTTTCGAAAATTTATGACAAACTGTGGAAGACACACAAACGTTTGATTTTTCCGGTATGTGGAAATAAAAAAGTAAGTTAAAAGTTGATTTAGAATGAAATATACTCATTAGTTTTTAATAATTTTAATTCCAGTCGTAACTATACTTCTATTGTATATTTTTCTTTCTTTATTTATTTAAAATAGCCTTTAAAATTTGAAGGATTTTTTGATAACCGATTAGACTTACTAAGTACCCAAGATTCCCCATTCTACTCATCCTTTGAGGCTGAAAAAAAAAATGGTTTTGCGGAACTTTTGGGTACGTGCCACTTTGGATAGGCACGAAGCTGTTGCAGCTGCCTCGGAACTCCAGTGTTCAATGTGTTTTGTGTCTTTCTTTTATTTCACTTTTTTCCTAGGTCTTGGGTGCATGACATTAGTTGTAAGCACATAAAAAATAAATAAATTTTACACACGTCATTGGATTTTATTACTGCAGCAATGTGAAATAGGCGAAGAAAATGATTCAAACTGTGCTGGAGAGCTCCAGTCATGAAATTGTCAAGACTGGTGGCATTCAATCAAGTTGAGGTGAGTGAAGGATTTTAATTAGAGGCACGAAGCAGGAGGCACCTTGAGCGGAAAAGTTGTCAACTTTGGATCAACTTTTCGGTAATCTCATTGCACACGCACTGAACTTTTGCGAATCGTTTCACTTTATTCACTATGTACACGTTGATGCATTCAATCCCTATATATATATTACATATACATACATATTTGGCAACGAATTATTGACAATTGCAATTCAATTTCACACACAATTTGGCCAAAAAATGTCGTTACGCCGGAAATGGCGTAAAAACTTTTCTCGGGAACTGGAGCTGCATCTGAAAACTTTTCACTTGGTGCTGTCAGAAAAGCTCGTGCCGGCAGCTCCATGAAAATGTGATTCAATGCGACGCCCTAAAAAAAATAAAATAAAATAAGGGAGTAAATACATTTTGGGTAAATATTTGGGTATATGTTCGATTGAATGTGACGCTGATTGAGGAGCGAATGGTTATCGAGAGATTCCTTTTTTGGTT